AGCTGGGGTGATGGGGGGTATCTGATTTCACAAAAGCAGGGCCGGGAGTCGGCGGGCTTGCGTGGGTGGAACCGAGTGCGGGGGCCGCGCGTGGGGCCATGGGCTGCTGCCAAGGCAAGGACTTTAAGACTTCGGGTGAGCAGGCCTAGGAGGCCGGGTCACAGGAAGTTCAGGAAGGTGGGACCGGAGACACACAAGGGTGCCCAGGAAGCCGGGAGTGCGGGATGGACCACCCGGAGGTTGGACTGGGGAGGGTAGAGCTCAGCGGCCTCGCATCCTCGCAGGCCAAGAAGGGGTCGATGCAGACTCGGCGGAAAACCGGAATCTCAAGTCGCACGAAAGGTTTCTGATCACTGTGCTGTGGCGGCGGCTCTCCCTGTTCATCCGTCGGGGCTCCTCGCGGTCAAACAAGAGGCAATCAGTCCACAATCCAAAGCAGGCGTGTACGTTCCAGGAGTGCAACCGGGAGGGGATCCAGGAGGAGCCGGAGAAGGGGTGACCCCAGCCCTGTTCTCAGTCCGCCCCAGCCTCTCTCCAGAGAATAAAGTTTCTAACTTGTACCTGCCTGAGAGCTTGTGCCGCCAAGGCTCGCTTTGCGCGCACAGGGCGCGGGCACCACCAAGGCTGCGGGCTCTTTAAGGCTCCTCCCCCGAGGCTGGCCCAGCCCCTTGGGCCCCCGGCTCCCGTTCCTTGGGGGCGGGGCCACGGTTGCGGCCTAGCCAATGGGAGAGCGGAGTTGCATTCGCGTTTGGGTGGAGGGGCGTGTCTCTAGGGTCGCCGGGCTTGAAAAGGCGTGGCACCGCCCGCTCGTCACCGGGGGTGGGGTTACGTGTGGGTGACGTGGCGGCTTCTAGTCTTTGGTCGGGTTTCGGCGGCTTCGGTTCCCGGGGAGAAGGCGGTGACGACCCGGGGGATTGTGGCAGTGGCGGTGGCAGCGGCGGCGCCAGGCGGCAGAGAGGAGGTAGGACACGCTCTAAGAGGGGTCTGACCGCAGTGTCTGCTCTGGGCAGCTCCGGGGACGGCGGGGGCTGGGGGGAAGGGAACCAGGGGCAAGCGGGCAAGCCCTGCCGGCCCGGCTCGAAGTGAGCGAATACGTCGCCGTCCAATCAGGAAAGCCCCTGTTGAGAAAGACGTCGGCCTTAGCTAATCAGTGGTTGCAGTCCTCCAGACGGTGGGACTTAGGCGAGGCGAGGGTGGTACTTCCTGCTTCAAATAAACACCTAGAGATTTCCCCCCTCCGACCACCGAAGTGTGTCCGTCTCAGGAGGTCCGTCACCGTTTCTCCCTGACGAGTCGGAGGAACCCGTGGATACGCGAGGGCCCACTTAGGGCCTAGGGCAGTTGCACGGGCCGGACTGGAGCTTCGGAGCCATAGGACCTGGCTCTGGCCCTGCCTCTACTTCAGGGCCCCGGCCCGCGCTCTGGCCGCCAGAACCAAGTTGGAAGAAGAGTCTGAGGAGCCGGACGGCTTGGGCCAGAGAAGAAGCGGGGTCCTGCCCGCTGCGGGTCGGCCCCAGGATCTGCGGGTGGCTTCGGGTGCGAAAGTCCGTGCCAAGTGCAAAGGGGCCCCGAGGATCTGCTGACTGGGGGGGATTTGTGGGGAAGGATGCTGCCTGGGGAATGACACTCTCCCCTCCACCACAGTCCAAGGTTATGCGTCTCAATGATCCCGCGGAAACGCTACGGGTCTAAGAACACGGATCAGGGTGTCTACCTGGGTCTCTCAAAGACACAGGTCCTGTCCCCTGCAACTGCTGGCAGTAGCAGCAGCGACATCGCCCCTCTGCCCCCACCAGTGGCCCTGGTCCCTCCCCTTCCCGACACCATGTCCTGCCGGGATCGGACCCAGGAGTTCCTGTCTGCCTGCAAGTCCCTGCAGAGCCGTCAGGTAAGGACCTGGAGTGGGAAAGGCAAGAGTGACTCATACTCAGACCTGGGAGAGGCGGTGCTCCAGCACCGTTGGTTGAAGTAATTCTTGGGGGAGCCCGATGGAGAACTGGTCCAGCTTGGGGAGGGTGGTAGGATCTACCAAGCAACAGAGAAGAGGTGGGCTAGCTAATCTAGAGGCAAGGATCTAGGCTTTTTTTTTTTTTTTTTAAATCAGGAATTCCCTGAGCGTAGGGTTGCTATTCTGGAGGGAATATCTCAGCGCAAGAGGTGGCTGCAAGTATATTTGGTTTGGATAAGGAACAGGTTCTCGAAAGAGCTTTTAGCTCAAAGACAAGCACTTTGAACTCTAGTTCCAGTATAATTTTACCAAGTTTGCTCTGTGACAACACAGAAGTTAATCTAGTTGGATCTCAGGTTTTGTACCTGTAAAATGAAGGAAGGTTTCTAAATAAGTAGTTTTAATCAAAACCACTTTGGAGTGCTTTTTTAAAAATTAGATTTGTCTTGGTCCAGACTTTCCGAATCCAAGTGAAACCTGAATAAACGTAATTTAAAATATTTTTACTGGTCATCTCTTGTTAGCTGCTCTTCTGTACGATCTCCAAGAGTTTTACATTTATCCTCTCTGATTCCCGGATTGGAGGGATAGAATGGTAATACTAGTTACCATTTATTTAGTGCTTAGAATGGCCCTGGTATTTGGCTAAAATAATTTACAACCCTTAGGGTTTTTAATCTTAGCAAGAACAAGAGGTGCATGGATTGTCTTCATTTTACAGAAGAGGAAGTAGAGATTCAGAATGGTTTAAGCAACTTGCCCCAAACCCCCCATGTAGTAAGAGGTGGCACCTAGATTTGAACCCAGGTCTACCTGTATGGACCGTCTGGTGGTGGATGCCACTAGTGTTAGAGGGTGAGTTTAGTAGACACCTGAGGAACAGTGAAAGCTGGAAATGGGGAGGGAAAACTAAAGTTTTACCTCTTTACGTTGCTTTTCAGAATGGAATCCAGACAAACAAGCCAACTCTGCGTGCTGTCGGGCAGCGCAGTGAATTCACCCTCATGGCCAAGTGAGTTGAGAGAAGTTATGTGGTGGGATGACCAGTGTCTGAAGAGAGGTAGCCTTGCCTGTGGTGACCTTGGCCGTGAGGACTGGGATTGGTTGTGCTGGTGCTAATGTGGGAAAGGCCCTCTCCTTCCCTTCCCGCAGTGTTCCCATTAATGCTCGTTTGCAGGCGCATTGGGAAAGACCTCAGCAACACATTTGCCAAGCTGGAGAAGCTGACAATCTGTGAGTGTTCTCGGGGCCTTTCAGAACTGGGGCAGCGAACCCGGGAGGGCGGAGGAACCATACTCCCTGAGCCTGGTCTTCAACTTCACTTGTCGTGGCTTCTTGTTTGTCTCTGCAGTGGCAAAGCGCAAGTCCCTCTTTGATGATAAAGCAGTGGAAATTGAGGAGCTAACTTACATTATCAAACAGGTGAGTGACTAGCGATCGGGAGAGCCCAGCATTTCAATTGGATCACTTCCATCATTTTCCCTTGCTCTAGGGTCCCAGAGAAAAGTTTCTAGAGCCAGCCCCAAACATCCCGCTCATCCAGTGTGTCAGTGATCATCTACTGTGTACAAAGCACTGTGCTGGGCACTTGCCACACAAACATTACGAGGCAGGATACCTGCCTTCAAGGGCTTATTGTCTAAAGAGGTATCCAGCCCCATAAACTCACACTTACAATGAATAGGAGGCAAGTGGTACAGAAAAGATCTTATGAAAAGATGAATGAGATAGTCTGGGGACACTGGGAAAGATTTTATTGAGGATGCCACATCTGAGTTGGTTTCAAGGCTTGTGGAGAAGCAGTGGAAGAACGTGCCAGACAAAGGAAACAGTGTGTGCAGAGGCAGGTCTTATAAAAGGGAAAGTTCAAGTTTTTGCTCAGATATCACCTGCTCGGGGAGGCCTACTGTCACCATGCTCTTTACTACCCCAGCACCCAACTCTGATCTCGCTTATCTTGCTCTATTTTCTTTTTTATAGCACTTGTTACGTTCTAATGGTCTCTATAATTAACTTATGTTTATTGTTTGTTTTCTCCCACTTACCTCATCTTCCTCAAAAAAAAGAAAAAAAAAAGTGTTAATGCCATAAGAGCAGAGATTTTTCTTTCTGTTTGTTCATGGATGTATCCCAAATGCCTGTAGCAGTGTCTGGCATGTATTAGGTACTCAGTATTTGTTGATTGAATTGAGTGATTGGCAGCAAATGAGGCTGAAAAGGTAGACTGGTAGCTGTCTGTGAAGACCGTCATGGGGGCTTGCTTGCTAAGGAGTGTGGAATCACTCTGAAGTGTGTGGGCTGCAAAGACGATTAGAACCTGGATTCCAATTCTGTCTGCAAGACCCTAGTATAGCAGTTCTAACAGTGTTATTTGTTTCTTTCCCGGAACAATGTAATAAGAATAAAATGAGAAATTGAATGACCATGGGGGAAAAAGGAACACCCTGGAGCATGAACGGTCAGAGAGGCTAGGGAGGAGGCTTGTGCAGTCCTCCAGTATGAAGATGATTATGGCAGAGGCCAAAGGGCAGACACATTCAGGAGATGCTGTGCTGAGTAGAAAAGAGAGGGTTCCGTTAATTACTGGGGCATTATTGCATAGGCATTTAAGAACCACTGACTGGATTTTGACAGACTTCAAATCCCAGGCTCACCAGTTAGGGTGTGACCTTGGGTAAGCTACCTAACTACTCTGAGCTTCAGTTCCCTTATAAATAAAAAGGGGATAATAACAGTACCCACTTCACAGGGTTGTTACAAGGATTTATTAGTTTATTTTTTCAATCACTCACATTATTGAGTGACTTTGGCTGCCTGGTTCTGAGGATGCAGCAGTGAACAAGACACATGCGGTCCCTGCCCTTGGGAACTTCCTTGCTGAATGGGTGAACTAGACACTATACAAGCAAACAGAAAAGACAGTTTCAGGTAGTGGCACATTCTATTAAAGAAATGAGGTGAGTGAGTTCCTCAGGGTAGGGGCCTACTTTACATGGGGTGATCTAGGATGGTTTGGCTGAGGAAGGGACATGGAGACCTGAATGGTAAGGAGAAAGTTGGTCATCCAAAGATCTGACGGGGGCACATTCCAGAAAGTGGGAATAGCAAAGGGAAAGGCCCCAAGGCCTGGGCAACCTTGATGTGAAAGGCTGTGAAACAGGCCAGTGTGGCTGCAGCACAGCCAGTGAGAAGGAGGCCTGTGGCTGGATGAGGTCAGAGGAGTGAGTGGGGCGAGACCACATAGCCCGTGTAAGCTAGGTGAGGAATTTGGATCGTGTACTAAATTTAGTGGGAAGCTCTTGGAAGATTTTGAAGCAGGAGAATGACATGCACTATTTTTGGTTTAGAAGATCACTCTGGTTGTTGTGTGGAAAGTGGATTGTAGGGGGCAAATTCTAAAAGGAAGATCACTTAGGAGGCTCTGGGCAATTTTTAGAGAGAGGACATTTTGGACTAGGGTGGCTTTGTTAGAGAAGGAGATGAGTGGACACATTCAGAGTATATGTTGGAATCAGCTGGGTTCTTTGTGGGTTCCTTGTGGATTAAGGGAAGAGAGAGGAATTGAGGTTGATTTTTTAAGGTTTTCTTCTGAGCACCTGGTGAGCGGTGGTGCCATTTACCAAAGTGGCAAAGAAGGAAGGGGGAATAGCTCTGGGGGGGAAATTAAGAGTTGTTTGCTATGTTAAGTTAAGAGAAAGTCATAAGCTGCTTAGCAGGTTGCATGGCGCACAGTAATCAAACCTGAGACTGCTGTTCTGTTCACAAAGTGCCGAGTATGTAGTAAACACTCAGTGTAGGTTATGGTTGTGCTGTGGCATAGAGGTTGGGTTAAGGAGATGTCAGTATGTGACTTAGAAGCTTCTAGCTTGGGCAACTAAGTGGGGAGTGGTGCCATTTTCTAAGTTCCTGCGAGAGGAGATTTTGTGGGGGAAAAACCTGGAATGCAGTTTTGGACACATGGCTGTGAGCAGGCTCCATTAACTCCGAAAGGACAGAGCAGTCAGCAGCAGAAATCGTCCAGGGGTCTCGAGAGAATCTTTGGGGCTAGGGTACTAATTGGAGGGATACTAACTGGGGGTACTATTGGAGGGACTCTAGAAGTTGCCTAATCTAGTTTTTTTTTTTTTTTTTTTTTTAACATTTATTTATTTATATTTTAGCTGCGTTGGGTCTTTGTTGCTGCCCGCGGGCTTTCTCTAGTTGTGGCGAGTGGGGGCTACTCTTCGTTGCAGTGCGTGGGTTTCTCATTGCGGTGGCTTCTCTTGTTGTAGAGCACGGGCTCTAGGAGCGCGGGCTTCAGTAGTTGTGGCTCGTGGGCTCAGTAATTGTGGATCGCAGGCTCAGTAGTTGAGGCACACGGGCTTAGTTGCTCCGCGGCATGTGGGTTCTTCCGGACCAGGGCTCGAACCCGCATCCCCTGCACTGGCAGGTGGATTCTTAACCACTGTGCCGCTAGGGAAGCCCTTAATCTAGTTTTTTTCCTAGCCTGTATCTTGAGCTCACTATTTTTGACCTCTTCCCCCTCCCCCTCCCCCTCCTCTTCTTCCTGTGGTCTTTCCCTGGACTTCGCTGTCCTGGGGTGGCAAGCTTTCTCTGCCACTCGCAGCCACCTCCTTCATCTCCCTTGTCTCATGAGGCCATTGGCAGGCAGGATTGGGAAGCAGATAATCCATTGGCCTGGTGTAGAAAGCCTGGCTGTGCTACTAATTCATCGTGTATAACATTAGACAAGTCACATCTTTCACTCTTTTGCAATAGTAATTTTTAAAAGGAATTCTGTATATAAAAAGCATTTCGTTGATGCTTCTGGGAAGCCATGTTGCCTTTGACTCTTCCTGTCTCCTGAGTACAGCACAGATGCTTTGTTGCTCAGCATGCTCTGGGTCTGAGATTTTGGCCTTTTGAAGGGTTCTCTGGCCATGAGCATGGCCTCACAGTGGGGGTAGGGCAGCAGGGTGGAGGGAGTAAACACCTCAGGTCTTTACGGATGGACAGGGCCATATTTCACCTCTCTCTGGCTCTACCCCGCAGGCACTGAGCCTGAGCAAACTACAGAGCTTGGACTATCCCAGCAGGCCCTTCTGGTCTGTCCAAGATACCATCACCCCTGCTAGTAATGTCCACCCTGCCGTCCCTGCCAGAGATGTCCATGTGGGAGAGATGCTGGCTGAGGACCCCATGGTTGATACTCAGTTTTTCTGTTGGCTCTTTCACCAGGACATCAATAGCCTTAACAAACAAATCGCCCAGCTTCAAGATTTCGTGAGAGCCAAGGGCAGCCAGAGCGGCCGGCACCTGCAAACCCATTCCAACACCATCGTGGTCTCCCTGCAGGTGGGACCCGGGGGAGGGAGAGGCAGAAGGGAGGAAGGCATTGTCTTCTCTGGCTGACCCTCTCTCCTTTTCTTTCAGTCAAAACTGGCCTCCATGTCCAATGACTTCAAATCAGTTTTAGAAGTGAGGACAGAGGTGAGAAGAATCTGTGTAGGAGGGATAGGAATCAGGGGTGAGGGCCCCAGAGGGAAGTGGGAAGGGGACAAGTGGAAGGGCAAGGGCAACAGGGTCACGGGCACCAGGAGGAATCTCTTTAATGTCCCCACTTTCCAGCGGCCTCAGGACCTTTGCATTTCTTCCCCAACCCTAGAACCTGAAGCAGCAGAGGAGCCGGCGGGAGCAGTTCTCCCGGGCACCCGTGTCAGCCCTGCCCCTTGCCCCCAACCACCTAGGTAAGTCACAGGCAATACAGGGAGCCCTGAGGGATAAGGCTTAGTTACTCCGGTTCTGGTATCTTCCAAAGGCAGGGCTTGGGTAGGAGAATGGAGGGCCAAGGAGGTTGCTAGGCTTTGTCTCTCAGAGGTCAGACCTGATTGCTGGGATTTATGATCCACACCTAGTCTCCAGCATTCTCAGTGTTGGGGGTGAATTCAATCATGTTCAGAAGAATGACAGTTTCTAATTTTTTTTGCACTTACTCGTTGTATTCCCATTCTGTCATTTAATTTTCACAACCACCTTTTGAGAAAGCAACTATTATTATCCCCCATTTTACAGGTGAGGAAACTGAGGCTCAGAGAGGTTAAATGACTTGTCCAGGGTCACAAGGCTAGTAAGTGCCAGAGCTGGGATTCAAATCCAGAGCATGTGGGCTTTGAACCTTTTAACCACTAAGAAGTGCCATGTCTTCTTTCTTCCCCCAGGGGGCGGTGCTGTGGTTTTGGGGGCGGAGTCTCGAGCCTCTGGGGACGTGGCCATTGACATGATGGACTCTAGGACCAGCCAGCAGCTGCAGCTCATTGATGAGCAGGTATCCACGCTCTGAGCTTGGGAGGAGTTGCTCCTGTTTTCCTCTGTGGTCACAAGCAAATGTTTGGAATGTGCCATGGGTGGAATGGCAAAGTGGAGGGTCCTAAAGAGGCAGGCCCTCCCCTGCAGAAGCTCCCAGTGCTCATGTATGCTGTCTCTCCTCTGAAGGATTCCTACATCCAGAGCCGGGCAGACACCATGCAGAATATTGAGTCCACAATTGTTGAGCTGGGCTCCATCTTCCAGCAGTTGGCACACATGGTTAAGGAACAGGAAGAAACCATTCAGAGGTGAGATTCTTTCTCTCCTTAACTTCAAAAACAGGAGCCTTCTCTTCCCTGTGGATTGGCATCCTAAAGGTCCCCAGGGACAGCCTGATGCCCTTTGGAAGAAAAGAGTGAATCCTGTCCACCCATAGGGTCAAGTTCACCTGCCTCCATCCACTCAACAAGTGTTAATTGAGCACCTGTTCCTTGTCAAGCACTGTCCTAGGTGCTGGGGATATGGTGATGAATAGCACAGTTAAGTCTATTTTGTGGAGCTTACTTTGTAGTATGGAATTTAATAGTGTGGGTGAGGGGCTTCCCTGGTGGCGCAGTGGTTGAGAATCTGACTGCCAATGCAGGGGACACAGGTTCGAGCCCTGGTCTGGGAGGATCCCACATGCCGCGGAGCAACTAGCCCCGTGAGCCACAATTACTGAGCCTGCGCGTCTGGAGCCTGTGCTCTGCAATGAGAGGCTGCGATAGTGAGAGGTTGGTGTACCGCGATGAAGAATGGCCCCCTGCTTTCCGCAACTAGAGAAAGTCCTCGCACAGAAATGAAGAGCCAACACAGCCATAAATAAATAAATTAATTAATTAAATTAAAAAAAAAAAAAGTAGTGTGGGTGAGGATAGCTGTTAAAAAGAATTGAGAAGAAATTTTCAGGTACTGATAAGGGTTATACCGAGAATTAAAGTAGGATGAGGTGTTCAGAAAGTGATGGAGGAGGTATATCAGATTGGGTGGCAGGGAAGGCTGCTCTGAAGACTTGATATTTAAGCAGAGACATGAACTACAAGAAGGATCCAACCATGCAAAGAAGAGGGATCTAACCATGCAAAGGAGAGGGTAAGAGTTGTCTAGGCAGTGTGGACAGCTAGAACAAAGGCCCTACGATGGGACAGTCTTGCTGTATTAAAGAATCAAGGGACTTCCTTGGTGGCACAGTGGTTAAGAATCCGCCTGCCAATGCAGGGGACACGGGTTCGATCCCTAGTCCAGGAAGATCCCACAGGCCACGGAGCAATAAGCATGTGCACCACAACTACTGAGCTTGTGCTCTAGAGCTGCGAGCCACAACTCCTGAGCCCACATACCACAGCTACTGAAGCCTGCGTGCCTAAAGGCCAAGCTCCACAACAAGAGAAACCACTGCAGTGAGAATCCTGCGCACTGCAACGAAGAATAGCTCCCGCTCGATGCAACTAGAGAAAGCCTGCGTGCAGCAAGGAAGACCCAACACAACACAACCAAATAAATTAATTAATTTTTTAAAAAATTAAAAAAGAATCAAGAAGGCCAGTGCAGCTGGAAAGCAATGAACAGGAAGAGAAAGGTACAGGATAAGACTGGAGGGAGGTAGGCAGAGCCCACGCACGGGAAGGCCTCTCTGCTCTCCTGGTGCCCCCTGCTACTGCACGAGGCATTTTATCTGCTCCTCTTTGGCACTTAGTGTTCATTCAGTCAGTTATGGAGATACAGTCAAGGATGAAAGAGACAAAGAACCCTCCCCTTGTGGAATATACATTGTAGTAGGGGAAACAGATAACTTAAAATATACATAATAAGTAAATGGTCCAGTATATATTTTTGCCCTGTGATAAATCCATAAATAAAAGTAGAGTAGGGTAAACTAATCAGGAGTTCTAGGTTTGGAGGAGCAAGTTGTAATTTTAAATAGGATGGTTATTAAGAGAGGCCCTATTAAGAAGATGGCATCTATCCAAGAAGGGGGGAGGTAAGGGAGTTTGCCATGTGGATATATGGAGAAGAGTACCAGGCAGAGGGAAGAACCAGTGTAAAGGCCTTCAGGCAAGGATATGTCTGATGAGTTAAAGGACAGCAAAGAAGCCACTGCATCTGGGGACAGGTGAGAAAGAGAGTAGTACCAGGTGAGGTTAGAGGGGAAGTGGGAGACCAGATCATGTGGGGCCTTTTAAAGCCAGTGTGAGGATTTAGCGTTTACTCTGAGTGACGTGGGGAGCCACTGCAGGGTTTTGATGAACAGTTATACTATCTGACTTCTGTTTTATTTATTTATTTTTTGGGCCGCACTGCGTGGCTTGTGGGATCTTAGTTCCTTGACCAGGGATTGAACCAAGCCACCGCAGTGAAAGCGCCAAGTCCTAACCACTGAACCTCTAGGGGATTCCCTCTGACTTCTATTTTAAAAGAATCATTTGGTTGCTGTAGTCAGAACAGATTGTAAGGACCTAGGATAGAAGCAGGGACATGGATGCAGAGGCCTTTTCAGTAATCTAGGCAAGAGGTGATGATAGCTGGGACCAAGGTTGTATGAGTAGTAGTTGCACTCTGGATGTATTTTGGAGGTAGAACCAATAGGATCAATTACTTGATGAACTGAATGCAGGGTGTGAGAGAAAAAGAGTAGTTTATGATAACTCCAGGCTTTTGATGGGAGCAATCAAAGGGATTCATGCTCTTCTCTTGAAATAAGGCTGGTTACTCAGGGTAGAGTAGATTTGGGGCAAAATAAGTTGTGTTGGACATGTCCAACGAGGTGGACAGTTGTTTGTTAGACATCTGGGTGGAGATAGTGAACAGGCCATAGATATAAGGAGTTGAGGAGACAGGTCTGGGCCAAGAGTGGGCAGAATTGGACTTTGAAACTAGGCCAAGCGAGTTCTAAGAAAGAGGAGGATCAAGCACTGAGTCCCAGGGCTATTTCTGGACTCAATTCTCAGTTCTGAGGGAGGGCACTGAACAGGAGCACAGCTTGTGAGGTAGGAAGAAAAATAAATGAATGTAGTGTCCTAGGAGCCAGGAGAAGAAAATGATTCAGGGAAAGAATAATCAGCTGTGACAAATTTTGCTTATAGGCCAAGCAAGATGAGAGCTGAGAATTTAATTGGAGTGTTTAGTTTATTAATAGTTAATAATTTTGCTAAGGTTGGATTTTGGCCTATCATTTTACTATTTTTTTTTCTGTTTTTCCCTTCTGTTTTTTGTTCCTCTCTTCCTTCTTTCCTATGTTTTGAACAGTTGAAAAAAAAATTTTAATTCCATTTAAATTTGTCTGTTGGTATTTTAGCTATTTGTAATTGCTTTTTTTTTTCCAGTGGTTGCTCTAGGGATACAATATGCATCATTAACTTTTCACAGTCAGCTTCATATAAAATGTGAGAAGTTTGCAACCCTCTCCTCCATCTTTTATGCTATAGTTGTCATATTTATTGCATCTACATACTTTATAAACTCCACAATATAATAGTATAATTTTTATCTTACAGAAATAAAGAGGAAAAAATAGTCTTTTATACTTACTCATATATTTACTGTTTCCAGTGCTCTTCATTTCTTCCCGAATATCCAGTTCCCATCACTTCCCTTTAACCTGGAGAATTTTCCTTAGTACTTTTTGTAGTGCAGTTCTACTGATGACAAATACTTTTACTTTTCTTTATTTTTATAAATTTATTTATTCACTTATTTAATTTTTGGCTGCACACAGGTTTTCTCTAGTTGCTGAGAGCAGGGGCTACTCTTTGTTGCAGTGCATGGGCTTCTCATTGCAGTGGCTTCTCTTGTTGTGGAGCACGGGCTTTAGGCATGCGGGCTTCAGTAGTTGTGGCACATGGGCTTCATAAGTTGTGGCTCGCGGGCTCTAGAGCGCAGGCTCAGTAGTTGTGGCGCATGGGCTTAGTTGCTCCACAGCATGTGGGATCTTCCTGGACCAGGGCTCAAACCCATGTGCCCTGCATTGGCAGGAGGATTCTTTACCACTGCGCCACCTGGGAAGCCCTCTTTTACTTTTCTTTTTTTAAAAAATAAATTTATTTATTTATTTTTGGCTGCACTGGGTCTTTGTTGCTGTGCGGGCTTTCTCTAGTTGCAGCGGGCAGGGGTTGCTCTTCGTTGTGGTGTGCCAGCTTCTCACTGTGGTGGCTTATGTTGTTGCAGAGCATGGGCTCTAGGCACGCGGGCTTCAGTAGTTGTGGCTTGTGGACTCTAGAGTGCAGGCTCAGTAGTTGTGGCGCACAGGCTTAGTTGCTCCGCAGCATGTGGGATCTTCCTGGACCAGGGCTCAAACCCATGTCCCCTGCGTTGGCAGGTGGATTCTTAACCACTGTGCCACCAGGGGAGTCCCTGGTTGCTTTTTAACTTTTTTTCTTGTATTTGGATTTTCACAGTTGATGGTTTATGTACTTAGATGTGGTTTTCTTTGAATTTACTTATTTATTTATTTACTTATTTGGGGCTGTGTTGGGTCTTCGTTGCTGTGTGCGGGCTTTCTCTAGTTGTGGTGAGTGCAGGCTACTCCTCGTTGCGGTGCACAGGCTTCTCATTGTCGTGGCTTCTCTTCTTGTGGAGCAGGGGCTCTGTGAGCACAGGCTTTAGTAGTTGTGGCTTGCGGGCTCTAGAGCTCAGGCTCAGTAGTCATGGCACATGGGCTTAGGTGCTTTGTGGAATGTAGGATCTTCCCGGACCAGGGCTCGAACCCGTGTCCCCTGCTTGACAGGCGTATTCTTAACCACTGCACCACCAGGGAAGGCCCTTATTTGATTTTATGTTGCTTGGGGTTCTCTGAGCTTCTTGAATCTGTAAATTTATGTCTTTCACAAAGCTTAGGGAATATTTGGCCATTATTTCTTCAAGATTTTTTTCTGCCTCTTTTTCTTTCTGTTTTCTTCTTCTAGGAATATATAGGTATACATATATATAATCAACTATAGGAATTCCCTGGTGGTCCAGTGGTTAGGACTCAGCACTTTCACTGCCAAGGGCCTGGGTTTGATCCCTTGTTGGAGAACTAAAATCCCACAAGCCATGTGGCACAGCCAAAAAAAAATCAACTATAACTATATATTTATTTTGTTGAAATGTATATATATCTCAACAAATTACATCTCATTAGGAGGCATTTAATGTCAGATTGACCCTGTATTATCTAGAACAAGTTTGATCACTTGATTAAGGTGGTAACAGATAATCTCTCTTTTTATTTATTTATTTATTTTATTATTATTATTTTTAAATCTCTCCCCCTTTTTTTTTTTCTTTTTTG